ATACATATATACGTGTGTGTGTGTGTGTGTGCGTGTGTGTGTGTGTGTGTGTGTGTGTGTGTTTATATATATGTATCACAGGGGTTTCAGAGAAACTCGGCCGTCTGTATTGAAAACCTCGAACGCAATAGTTGACAGAGATATCAGAGAATCGTCGAGAACACGAAGCTGCTGGACAAATTAATCGGAAGGACAGCCGGGAGTTTGTTCACCCGGTCGGCGTTACATCGCGGACAATCGCTCCTCGTGGGCTTTCTTCACGATCGCTAGCTTCGAATGAGGATCGGCCGCCGCCAGTCCGGTGTACGGAGCCTCTCTGGTGCCGTGCAGCATCAGAGTCCACTCGCGGAACCAACCGCGCTGCGGTTTTAGAGTGTCGAATCTCACCTAGAAGCAGAAACGCGCGTTTTATGAATCACCGATCGCCCACCGCGTCGTGAACGTTAACCCTTAGCAGTCCAAGTCGTTTTATAATCCGTCAGCAACTGCAACTAATTCTTATAGTATTCCCAGCGAAAATGAGAAACGCTTTTATTTTCCTTCTTAGTAGAAAATTTGGATGCGTGGAAGATCGAAGAATTTTAGGGTAGTTTCTTTAAGATTCATTCAAATATTTAATATTGTAACTGGTGCAATATTGGAGCCTACAGAGTTCAAAGGGTTAACGCGTTCCGTGCCAGGAAAACTTCGGTTACACGTTGCTTACGAACTGTATTGACTTTTTCAATGAAATATTCAATTATATCCAGGTTATATCCAAATATTCAATGTCGTCGATCAAACTCGAATCCTTCTTTGTATCTCAACTTTCCGATTTACCTCCAACAACCAGGTTCCCTGTGGGTACTCTCCCCAAGTGTGAGTCGTCATGAAGGGCCATTTCGTGAAGCCGTCCCTGTGGTCGTCGTCGTTGATCCTCCGGCTCAGGATCATGGACCTGTAATCAGTCATCGTTATTCCTTCGACTCGGTCCTTGCTGCTCGCTTTTCGAAGATTCCAGTCAAACGCTCTAACCATCGGCATTATTCTATTTATATATTATACATGTACTTCTCACTCGCATCTTTCGTCCATAGTCAAAATTCACGCAGTCGCGTACACGCTTTTCTCACCCAGTCGCTCGGTTCCACTCTTCCTCGTATTCTTTCCAGCCACTCAAGATTTTCTAAAGTCACACTATTCTCCAAACATCGCCCTTCCGTAGCAACATGACCTGCTCGCCCTTACGCACGCGCAACAAACCATTCATTCTACAAAAGTATCAAGTCGAACGTTTAGTATTCTGAATGAAACTTAAATGTTTCATTAACTACTTGCGCTGCAAATGAATTCAGAAATTTGGCAAAGGCTCCTGCGATGAATTTTGTTTTCACCTATTTTACGCTGATATGTACACTAATCATTGTTAATCATTCTGTATAGAGTGATGCATTTCGAAGTAATCCAATAGGCGTAATGCAACAATATTACCGCACGCACGCGCAACGAACTATTCATCCCACGTATAAATAGAATTTACAAACATGATGTATCTACTTATACCATCGCATGTTCATCATTCTAACGCATTTTTAGGTGCATCGCTGCACTTGTGGAAGAAATTGGTGGAGAGTAAACGTTCGTACATTATGAAATTTCTTCTTTCTGCGTTTGCGTGTCTCTAGTGGATGAATGAACGCACCTGGTGCCCATCGGCGAAGTCAAGAAAAGCTGTAGATCACCTCGCCGCGTCGCGTTCACGGATATCACCGCCTGCACGTGCTCCAAGTAGTTGACCGCGTACTCGGTGCCTGCGCAGGCATCGGTCTCTATCTTCAGCAGGATCGGTTCGTCGCTCGTCACTTTCCTGGAAAAGGAAATCGACGTGACTCTCGCCGATAAAGGGAAAACGGAATTGCGATCGGAATTCCTGTGGGCGAAGCTCGCGAGCACTGGCAAAGATTTTCATTGTCAAACTCAATATTGAATTGTCCGATAATGCGATACAATACCTTTAAAACCATTTATCGATTCTCCAACAGAAAACCCAATTACACATGAAACGATTGAAGAATTCAATCTTCCATTTATTCATCGCCAACATGGTTCGTGTAATTTGAAAGAGTAATAACTCTCCTTAATGCGACAGATCGAACAAATGTCGATACTGTAATCCATTGTTACATCAGTTTGTTTTATAATGAACGATTACGAGAGGAACGATTATAACAAAGTAAGTCGATGTTAATACTAAACTACGAGACAGGTGAGAACGACCCATTCCTGATTGCCTTTCGCAATTATCAAGATCATAAACGTTTCTCTGAGAAGGCATTAAAAAAATTAATTCAGCAATACGTAAACTGAATTATAAATCAAGCGAAGCTTCGATAGATGCACTTTAGGCGTTTCTATAGAGAATTTTCAAAAAGTCCGTTTAACTGCTCGGCAGTTTTAGCGTTAAAGGGGAATTATTAATTCCGACTTTAGTTTGACTTCCAAGCACAGGAGCGAAGGTAGCATTAGAACGCGGCACGCTGGTATATAGAAGGGCAGGTTCGCTGCGCGGCGAACAATGTTGCGAAACTCATATACGGGTTCGTAAAGCTGGAAAGGTTAATGTTAGAAAAAAGTAGCAGCGGGTGCTACGATCGCGGTAGAAGCGGACGAACTCGTCGGGCCACGCAACAGGAGGGAGCCGTGCTGGCCGAGATCGATACTCCGGTCATCCAGGAATAATAATTTACGGCCGTTTTTACCCTCTATACGTGCCTCTCGAATTTAGAATGCGGAAGAATTGCGGAACCGAGGGGAAGCAGAGATACCGAAACGTTTCGCGGAACAGTCACGCGAGAAGATGAAGACAGAGGACATCGTGTCCGAAGTTTCGCGAGGTTTTCGTTGCTTCCAATGGTCGTTGTCGCGTGTATCGAGTACATTATTGCTCACATCGGTTCGAACACGTTGCCACGGGCCTCGCAGTGGTTCCGCGGCGGCACGGTTTTCCACTTCTTCGCCAACGCGACCATCGCGCCGGCGTCCAGCACACCGAAGCCGAATAAATGGTTGAACTCGAGGCCGACGCCGTTCATCTTCCACTGAAATCTTCCTTTCGCGTCAAACAGCGAGTTCCTCTTTGATGTGAGCACGGTCAGGTGTTGGATATCGCGCCACGTTAGCATCGGGCTGTAAAAGAGATTGAAATGCTCCCTTTATAGTCGAGATTCCGAACGCTTCATGGGATTGCGTGCTCTTTGATCATTCGCCGGTTCGGTTCCATCGCGGTATGTATTGGATTAATTTCGATTAAACACAGAATAAAGAATCGAGGACCGCCGGGCGAAAAACAGTGATTATTTGGAGCGTTTAAGTTGTTATCTTGATAATCCTTTGGTACCTCCATGCACAGAGATTCGAATCGACGGAGCTTATGCAAATACGAATATTACCGGGCATTCCAGATCGATAGGAAGCCTCGGATCATTGAGGAACTCAGTCGAGTGGAGTGATTAAAAGCTGTGGAATCGGATTATGATTGAAATTCTCATTTCTCTCGACGATGGACTGAATTAGAGTATGTTTAATTCCGGTTAGATGAATCGGGGGTCGAATATTCGCTGCGCCGTGCTGGTTTTTAACAAATTTCCGATTATAATTATAAAAGTTCTTCGGTTAAAAGGGTCGAAGGTGTACGAGAAGGACCGGGTTCACTCTGAAATTAGGTGATCTCGAATACCGTGAGTCGGAACGCGCGAGCGAGAGGATGTTAGGGATGCAGCAACGGCGCCGCTAAAGCTCGGCCTTTCGAGGGCGCATCTCCATTTCTGGGTCACGTTTCGCTGACTCGGTTTGACGGGACTTCAAAAGCCCGAGGACTAGCCCCATTAACGACCTTTCACTCGGCGCAGCCCCGCCGCTCGTTTCTTCGTTCTCCCGACTGCAACCGCGAATCGCGCGCGGCGACGAAGCCGCGAGTAACTTGAATTTATTGTCAACGCGAAACGAACAACGACGTTGCTTCAAGATCCTCGTATATCAGACCGCCACGCTCTCGAATTTAAATTTTTAATCAGCTCCCACGGACGGTCTGCTTGTTGAACGTAAATTTTCAGTGGAACAAGTCGACGATACGTCGTACGTCGCCCGTAGAATACATTTACATGATTAACGGGTTGAATGTCGCACGATTTCACGGTGTAGATGCACGATACGAAGAAAATTTTGTATCTAATTATCTAATTGAGTTGTGTTGTTGTCGGTATTATCGTAGTGTTCGTATTATTTGTAATATGAGAATGTTTTCAAACAACCATCGTGAAATTGAGAGAATTTTAGACTGTTTTGAACCTAAAATATGAATTTAATTATCTACTTGAATTGCATTGTTATTACTATTAGGATTATTATTATAATGTTCATATTATTTGTAGTATGAAAATGTTTTCAAACAACCATCCTGAAATTCAGAGTATTGTAGACTCTTTTGAATCCAAAGTATGAAACGCTGCATTTAATTATCTACTTGAATTGCATTGTTATTACTATTATGATTATTATAATGTTCATATTATTCATAGTATGAAAATTTTGTCAAATAAGCGTCGTGAAATTCGGAGAATTATAGACCCTTTTGAACGCAAAGTATGAAACAGGAATGAAATTAAATAACGTGTCTCCCGTATTCCATTGGAAACTTTCAAGGTATCCACGTGCAGTACCGAGCGGCTTAAATAACGAGTAATGTAAAATTCATCGGTATGCGCAATAATACCTCGTATTCGCTCGTTGCCCGCGATGATGGAATTATGAAACGCAAGCTTTCCGCCATTGAATTCGATCACGCGGCCGGTAGAAGAATATAAAACGGCCAACCCACGCCACCCATCTCTCCCCCACAAATTACAATATCACTCGATATTACATGTCCGGCGAAAGTATAAAGCTATTCGAAGTTGCTAATCCACGTGGAATCCAGTTTTTCCCCGATTTTAACGGTCACTCGTCGTTGGAACGCGAGATAAATCCGCTTCTATCGTAATACCGTCGAAACATCATCTCCTCTACACTCGCCGAGCCCTTCTCGCGACAGTGAGCTCAATTTCATTTGAAAATTCGGCATTCGATTAATCAACACCTACCATATAGTTTCTAATCTCTGAAAAATCTCGAATCTCGCATCTCCCGCCGCGTTTACACGATTTATTTATATTCCACGCGAAGCTTCGAAGTTCGTGTCGTTCCTCCTCTCTGAAATGTCCATGCAGAGTGCGCCTATATTTATTCATATTCTCTTTCGCCTGCTGGATAAACGGAACACGCCGAAATCATGAATTATATTCACGATAAATGAAAAATGAGTTAAACGAAGACTCTCGTGGTTTACTTGGGGAGTATATGTCGCTATAATATGCGCAACAGCATCTCCGGCACATTGTAATTTGTCGAATTTGATGCGCCGGCACGGTACGCGTGGGCGCACCGAACTTCCCGATGTTTCCCGAGCCTGTTACTCGCACGGTTTACGCTCGACCACCGAAAATCCGCTAACAAGAGGACAAGACCAATCTACAATCTGTTAACACTGTACTAACCAGTGGTGTTGATCGAAAATAATTTCTTTACATTTCAGTGTACATTTCTATTATATGTATAATATATTAAAATTAACAATGAATACGATATAAAACGGTTTCATTAAGATCTGTATCGTCTTCGGATAAAAATTAATATAATATAACTTGATTCCGATCATTGGTAATCGATTCAATATTCCTTTAGACACTTTGAATAAATTCTTTTTTCACTATAATTGAAATGACTCTTTTAACACCGTGTATTCCCTCTGTTGCCAATTAATTTCGCTAAAACAGAACAGTCGAACGAAACGATCAACCCAGTTCGCGTAAACACTTCGAAGGTAAATTCACGAAAACGCGTCCGTTCAATTTTAAACTGTCCACTGCATGATGCTGTCGCGTATAATTAAGCGAGTTCATTGTACGAGGAAAGGACTCCGAAATTTAATAACCTCCGTACTCGTCAGAATCCGCGTTGCGTGGCATTCGATATGTATACGGATGCACGAGCTCGATTACTCATTTTATTTCACGATTCGTTCCTCATTTTAAAGAGGAATTTTCTCATTGGACGTAGGCTGATTTAGCGTTTCAATTTCTCAATAAAATCTGCGTGGTCAAAGGAAATATTTACACAAAAATCGAACGGTGGAATTTCCCTTTCGCGCACAAATTAACACGTTGATTATTGAAAAAATAATACATTCTTCCGAGAAACGATTAAAGAAATCGATTGACCAGTACGCAAACTGAATTGTAAATCAACTAAAGTTTCGACGTGTGCACTCTTGGAATCTCTATAGAGGAATTTCGAGAAGTCCGTTTAGCTGCTCGAAAGTTTCAACGCTAATGTATATAAGAATCGATTCGTGACATTTCCTTCTCGAAAGCGAAGAATGTAGAGGACGAAGTTATCCGAAAATTGCCGAACGACTCCAGAAATAGACTGACCGTGTCTGAACAGCGGCGTTCAAAGGGGTGAGCTTGAAAAAAGGCCAAACAATAGCGTCGTTGTCGGCGAAAATAAACATTCCACGTTGTTGTCCGATATCGCGAGACCGGACAATGGCGGACCCAACGAGAAATTGAATTCGCCGGCTTTCAGGCCACGCTGGACACTCGAACGACGCAAGGCGAAAAGGAAACACGAAAGGTCGCGTTGCGGTTCGGTGTAAAAGCTTCGCGGTTCCTGCCACGCTCGATAATTCGATATATATATACGTAGGTAAGGTAAAAGCACGCCCTTATCCCTGAAAGCTGCGCGATCGAATCACGTCACGGGCATCTTCGATGTTGCATCGCACGCGAGCGGAATCCTTCCTTCGGAAATAACATTTCTCACGAGTGAAGCCCGTTAATCAAACGAAACTCCGCGAATCCGTGATTCACTACAAAACATTCGGAAAATATGGAACCGCCCGGAACGTGCGCAGCATTCGAGCGAATGCGAATAAAAAAAAATCCATTAGCAATTTGCAATCTGATTCTCGAGGTGATAAATATCGCAACGGAAAATTCGACGGTGCGGAACGTTCGAGCCGCAGCTGTCCGTTTGATTCACGGTCCAATATTCTCCAGTTATTCCGGACAATCGCAGCCAGAAGCAATATGTTCGGTAATTAACGAGGTTAGCCGGGGAACTGATAGAAAACTCATCGCGAATTTTCCCGGGAGGTGTCGTGAGGGAGTTAAAATTGGAGCGGCGAGCGAGGGCGTCAGATCAAAGAGCACTTTCCCGCGGAATAATATCAGGACTGTCCGCGTCGGAACTCACTTAGCTTCGAGGGCCAGGGCAAACACTCCGGCAGCTTCCGGCGCGGCGGCCGAAGTTCCGCTGTGCGTCCTGGTGCATTTCCCGTAGAGGTCGGTGGTTGCCTGAAAAGAAAAAGAAAAGAAAAATAGAGCGGTCAGGTTGTTTAATTGCAGGGCACCGTTCGTCAGTCGAAATTAAAATTCACCCCGCCGCTAACCGGCCCACCTCATTATGGGAGCGTTCGCCATTTGCATTTTAATGGTAATTGCCCAGGAGGAAGGTGCTTAGCAATCTCTAGCGCACGCAGCGCGCGACCATCGCTCCCTGACTGTTTAAGCGGATAATTATTCCCGTTCCTCTAACCACGTTCCGCGTTACGCGTGATCCGCTAATTTCGCTTTGCCTTACGCGGATCCTCGCCATGCTATCCTTGCAGATTGATATTGTGGAGATACGATTCAGTGGGAGAATGGATGCAGTGTATTATAGACGGATTGTTTATTGTATATTAGACACTATGAGTAATTACAATTAACGGGTAAGAGACTACGGTTACTGTGTACTAGGTGACAACACGAGTTCGAAACGATCATTGAGAGTCGAGTCGCTGAGGAGCCTGATTTAGCAGAACACATCGAGAAAATTAATGCTCTTGAATTCATTGGTTTTTAGAATGTTAGGTTTATTAATCTGATTAGAAAAGTATATAAAGTCTCTCGAGTAACAAGAATATTGTTTATTCCATTAACGTTGGGGAAATAAAAGAATATAACACAATCGACTTAGTAGCATTGGGTGCTCAGCGACCCAATTACAACTGCAACTCTTCGGCTACGATTTACTGACCTTTCCACCCAGTATAATAATCTTATACCACAAAACAATCCCCTCTCTGTGCACGCTCTTCTTGTCCTTAATGCCCCTTCCCATCGCGTCGTGTTTCCTAAGCTACGTGACCAACTACACATACACTAGTACAGTTACAAGATACTTCAGTATTGCAGGAATGTTTACAACTCGATGCAGAGCTTTTCCATACGGAAAATGTTGGTACAAGATTCCATGCATCACAGGTTACGAGTGTTTACATCTCTCGGATGCACCGCGATTCAGCAGGAAATTTTTCCGAGCACCGAAGAAATGCTTCTGTGACCGTTAACGTTTACAACGTGACATTCCGTAGAAGACTCTTGCGCGTCGAACGCGACGTTTCGCGGGCAAAGTTTCAGCTCGACTCGGAGTTCCCCCCGGAACGCTTACGGCAATCGATCCTCGCGTCGGAACCTTTAGAATCTCGGGAAACGGGTCCGCGACGCGAGCGATTTAACGTTACTCCGGAATTACTAGCAAACTGTCCTCTAATTGCTGTTCCGGAACTCCGAATGGCGGACAAGGAAAATATTTGACGAGCGATAAATCAAGCGCCGAATGGAGAAGCGAAACGATCGAACTTTCCCGCTGAATTTCAATGAACTCGGCAACGGACGTAATTTGACAAAAATTCAAACGATGTTCCGATAGTTTGAATCCAACTTTGAAACCCATCGTACCCGTGCGTCGCGCGGGCAACGTTAAAATTGAAAGTTCGAGGGAAAACGGGCCACAGATCGGCCCGATTATCGCGATCGAATGCGGCGAATCCCAGGGGCGATTAAACGCTGCGCTTCCCAACGGCGTAAATCCCTGGATCGTGACCGTGCGCGTCCTACGGGTGCAGTGAAAGTTTTCCGCGTGAAAGAATAGTTCGCCGCATCCGGTCGGCGATAAAACGCGCCGGTTCTTTCCAGAGATTCAGAGCGCTGTTTTTCACGCGTACGCCGGCGTTCTTCCGGAACTGCGGTTCCCGCGGGACGCCGTTCGTTTCGCATCGACGGTAGAAAGAAAAAAATTCACATCCCCACAGGGGAATAAGGAAGATATACCACTGCGAAGTGCATTTACTTATCGCGGCGTGACGCGTATTTTGATGAGGGTGTCTAAAGTTCCGTCGAACTTTCGAAGCGCTTCTTTAATATTCAACTTCTTATGTTCAGAAATGAATCTCTCCGAAAATCGTGGAACAATGTAACGCGAGAGAGATTGAGGAAACGAATGTTTCGGTTACTGATTATAGGACATACTCGGAAGTTATACAGAGATATTTCTGAACTAGGGAATCGAAGAAACTAGTGAATCCTTTGATAACTAAGAATATTATTTGTTCCAATGAAATTGAGGAAAATCAGAAGATATTCGCATCGCGGGGGGACTCTCTAAATGAGTTTCTAAAACGTTGTAAATGGTTTAATCTCATCGCAAGAGAACGTTGCTTTTCGAATTATGTAAATATCATTTTCAGCTTGCTCTTTACGAGCTTTTCCCCAGACCTTGGTAAATTCGTGCGGTTATCTTCCCACGGGCACCCGTTTTTCGCCCGACAGTAAAAGGGTTAAGAAATCGCCTTAACCGCGTTGGCTTCCGACGCGACTGATACATTAGCGGTGGAACTGTGATGAAAGTAAAGGGTGGAGGACGCGATCTCTTTAAACGTTGCTCCCACAAATTCCCGAGAACGAACCGACGCGAGCAACCATGACGAAGGAGACCGTGTCCGCGCTGATCACGGCGATGATAATAATGAAATCTAACCGCCCACGTACCCCTTTGATTTTCTGGTCCGCTCGAGCGTGAAATTCTCGTGGACGCGACGGTGGCTGGGGTGGAAATCGCGTGGACCGTGTTCGCCCATAAAATCTCGGCTGTCGGACGTCGAAGCTCGCAAGAAACTCGTGAGAGAATCTATCCGGAAACGTGTCTGGCACGGGGCGTGAAGGTTGCGAGCGACGTCGGATAACATCCAGTTAACGACCGAGACCGCTACGCAAAAGGTTATTGAAAGGTGGGCGGCTGATGTTGCATTTTCCGCAACATCGCCGCGACCCTCCGCAATTTCTTTATGCGCCCCGGTGAGAATGGCTACCCGATCGGTGTTTTTATCGTTTCTCGAACGAAATAGCACGGCTATACGGCGTACCGCGTTCGAGCGACGCATTAGAAATTCTCGTTTCACCTCGAGGAATATCAATGTAAACGTCGCACGTTTGTTAACAGGCTGAAGGCCGCACGGTTTAAGAGAGTAAAATATACAAAACGGAAGAAAGATATCAATGCTTCGCGCTTCCGTCGAGACAGTTTTTAATTGTATTATGTTGTTATACTATTTTTAATAGTACTGGTAAACAGAATTGTTTACACTCTTTACTATTAACACCTTAGCGTACTAGTTACTTTCGTTACTAAGCTCCTGTAATATTTTACTGTCGACAATTTGTAAGAAATAGAACAAAATTTTCCATTCTACTTCAGGTGAAAATTTCATTTGAAGATAATACATTGATAACAGCAAAATAGTTGTTTCCTTTGATCCGTGGGCAATGAACAACATTGATTCTTGTTAAATTAGTTTCGAAATCTTCATCACGAGTGTCACTCGTCATTGTACGGCAAGGGTTAACTAATTGTCCTTCGAAGTTTCAAGTAAAGCACTTGAAGTAATACAGAATTATAGAACAGTAATTTGTAAAGGGAACACGGAGTGCAAAGGATTGAATCAATTAGTTGAAGCGCGTTATTATTATTGCTCGTCTTGCTCAATGCCACTGCATTAAATAACATTGTTTATAATATAGAAACCTTTTCAAATACCCGTCAGTTAATCGAGTAAACTACAGTAATTCGATTTAGTTGGGAGTCACCAGTGACCCAAGGCATTCAACGTGTTAACCCTTTAAACTCTGTAGGCTCCAATACTGCACCAGTTATAATATCGAATATTTTAATGAATCAAAGAAACTACCCTAAAATTATTAGATTTTCCACACATCCAAATTTTGTACTGAGAAGGAAAACAAAACTAGAGAAACTAACTTCACTGGAGATACTATAAAAATTAGTTGCAGTTGCTGATAGATTACAATACCATCCGGAATGCTAAGGGTTAACTTCACACGCAACCCGATAATACTGTGTACAAAGTTTCTCGAAACTCCGAAACATTTTCAGTTCAAGTTTCCTCGATTTCCCAGGAATCCTCCGAATCTCTTGATTCCAGCATACGCGAACACCATTGACCGGCAGCCCAGTTTAAAGAACGACATATTTTACCACGAGCCCCGTATCGCAGGGGAAGCACATCGTCCGTGAAGTTGAGTCGAGTAAATATGCTTATTTCTAAGGAAACGACTCCCCATCGGAATACAAAGAGCGTAGCCGTGCCTCGGCACGAATGTACGTTCACGAGGGCTTTTGTTTGATCAATCTTTGCGCCGTTAACGCGAGACGATCCCGCCGGGGACGTGCGTGCACGCGCACATGCGGATGGAAATGGAGCAACCAGCGACAAACGACGACGCTCGTTATGACGCTCCTTTCCTCTCGGCTGTTATTATCCAAAATAATGGGCTGCGCGAGAGATTGACTACCAAGAACTACCGCAAGCACCTTATTACCCAGGAACATAACAGCTTCTCCATTGTCCGTGCGTCACAAAGGGATCCAACGAATTCCCCGCTGTTAAGCAAATTATTAAGAATTCTTCAGATTCACCTATCAGTCGTTCAGAAGAGAATGCAATCCAGCCAATTTCTTGGTACTCTCTGACGCTTGCACATTTTAATGGAACAATATTCGTGTTAGTCATTAAAGAACTTACTCGTTTCTTCTTTTTTTCTAGGTCAGAAACATTGTACAATCATTTCAGAAGCCAAAACGTTGATTTTCGCAATTTCTCATCCCTGTACTCAACGTTTGCACATTTCAATGGAATAATATTGGTATTAGTTATTAGAGAACTTACTCGTTTCTTCCTTTTTCTAGGTCAGAAACATTGTATAATCACTTCAGAAGCCAAAACGTTAATTTTCTCGATTTCTCATCTCTGTGCTCAACCGCATTGGTTTCTGAGCGGGACAAACCAATCAGCGAATGCAAGACCTAAACTCTGTTTCGTCATTTGCCAGGTACATGTACATACAGGTATATTATATATATACAACTTATATATTTTATGCGAAACACTGAAGAATCTGAACAGTCTCCGATGATTTCAAACAATCTTCCTCCAACACCGTAACCCGATGGACCAGCTTCCACGCAGAGAGAAGGATCGATCGGCGATGGGCGGCCATAAAGCCGCGGTACAAAGTTTACGAGGGTCCGGCGGAGCTTTCGCGGGTTTCAAACGAGAATTCCGCGTCGCTTCGACGAGTATAATCCCAGGCGATGGCTGCGACGGCCCTGTCCGACCTCGATACTCACGTGGGACGTACTTGCGTCCTGTATCTCTCGGCTCTATCTCTGCCCTTAAGTCGGATGAACGATAATTTCCGAACGGAGAAAGAGCCGGACCTCAACCGTCGGGATAACGTCCGTTCTTTATCGATGTTTTCCGAGGGAGGAAACATTTACTCGCGAACGCGGGGGAAGCTAAACTCTGTACCGAATGCGCGACGCGTTTCGATAAACTACCGGCAACTTGGATCCCGGATTAATCTTATACCGTATCTCCGAACGATAAGAGACCGCGGGGGTGGATCTCGTTCGAAACGGTACGCTATCGTGAGTTTTATTCCGTTCGTATCTTATTCGCGCGTCGATGTACTTTATCGACGTGGATTATGCAGATGTTCCGCGTGTCTTTCGTGTTACTCGCTTCATGGTTTATTCTAATTTAGAATTCGTTCGATAGTCTCGTTGTTACGCCGTAAATTCCTTGCTGGTTCATTTATAAATGCGATATTCGTGCATTTATCACTGTATTCCCTGTGTTCGTCATGAATCCGTAAAGTCTGGGTTCCATTTATTATTTGCAAGACTTCCCCTTATCTTCCCTTGTTTACTCGCACCGCTTTCTCGCGTGTTCCTAGTGGATTCGAGTTGCAGAGCAAATAATAATTATGTTAACGTGGAACTAGATCTCCGTCGAGGGTAATCGACTCTTCTCGTCCGAAGTAACGACGCCATGGCTTCGCCAAATAAGCACCCCTCACGCGGAGCACTCCCGCCCTCCCTTATTTCCCCGTTGCGCTTCTAATATTCCTCCAGGAGCGTTCCGAATCCCCGCGAGTGCCGAGCGAGGCAGTTAAGCGTGACCTATCGCCGAGATAAGCGGCGCCCGCCTTGAAAACCTTGATTACGCCTAAGGAAACACTTTCCAGTCTTGGATGGACTGTTTCACCCCAGTTTCGCGGGGAAGATACCCGACGTTCGGCGCTTCAAACGTGGAATTCACGTGTGTAAATTAATCTCTAAAGGTAAACGCGCGATATGGATAACATTACGAACAGTATACTCGAAGAATCGCGAAACGAGCCACGGCAACAAAGTTCATTAACCGAATGCAGATTATTAAACTTTCGAAACTGCGTACTGGAACTTCTAAAGGGATGGAGGATGGAATTTGAGGTAGCTTCCTTCGCACTCTTACAGCTGAATACTTTATTCCAAGTTTTCCATACAGTTGGCAATGCTATAAAGTAATAGCGAACGCGTGAACCAGTGGAAACAAAAATGTTTAAAAGTCAGAACGCATTAGTGAGACTGTTGCGATTAAGCTAATTGCGCGATGTAGCCGATTCTGTGCAACTTGGGTTGCCTTCTTTAAAATCGTGCGTCTAGAAGAGTTAAAGAGGAATTCTTCAAGAAATAACCTACGATTCTGCACACCTGTTGTACCTAGAATGCACTGGTAAAACCGGATCACTATCATGTTTCCTTTTACTTCGGATTCAGCGAATCGATCACTCCCTTGATGCAAAGAACAAAAGGAACAGACGTTCGAATGAATAATTCCTTGTCTCGCTGCACCGGACAGCCGAGTGAATTTAATAATTCACGGGACTACTATTTCTGCAAGCCATCATCGAAGGAGAGAGCCTTTCACTTCGGCTCCCAACCCCTCCTGTCACGCTCACTCCTCATACCCGTCCATGCTTGACCCACCGACGCCCACGCAACAGAACGTCTTCCACCTCCCCGCGAAGGGAGATCGTCCCTTACAATTACACTTCGTTATTAATAATTTCCAGCCCGGAACACGACACGCGGCGCGCTTGCGTCCGTCCCAACCCCTAGATAAATCAAGAAGCTCGCGTGGGCGGGTGAATCACGACGGGAGGAGTACAGGGTAACGCGGCCGCAGGGAAATTTTTACCAGGAGAATGACGCGTGGATTCTGGGAAATTTAGAAATGTCGACGACGATCGACGGACAGAACAGAAGATCGATGTTCCGAGATGCGGACCGTTTAAATGTGGAATTTCGTTGTGAGAGCTTGACATCTGAAATTTAAAGCGAACCCGAGCGACGCGCGAGTTACAAACGCGCTGAACTGGAAATGCGATTGCATTCGTATTGAATAATTTATATACGGAAATTATAATAATTCCATGAACAACTGCTAAATCTGCGCGTCATAAATATTTACGGTTCCATTTATTCGCGGAAAATTCCCCCTGAAAGCTTCGCCGACGTCCGTACAAACAATTCCGATACAGGTCACCGAATTTAATAGAATTTACTCTGTTCCAGTTCTCGTTCCATTGTCCGACTGCTAAGCACTTTAGTTCCTCCGTTCATAATTGCCGAAGAAAGGGTAGCGGCGAAAGACAGAGGGCCAGGGTACACGCGATCGACGCGGATGGCAGTGGATGTCGTCACGCTTGCTGTCTCAGTTTCCTTGGCGACGAGGGCAGAGTAGGGAAAGCTCGAAGCGAAGAGCACGCATGGACGCGAGTGCTCGTCCTCGAAACAATGAGCCGCGGAGACAGAGTTGCCAGCCGGACGAAGATCGGGGGAATTTGCATACAGAAATTTTACAGCGCCTTTATTCAAATCGCAGTCCCTCGTTCCGCGACGGGATTCCTGCGCCGTGTTTGCCCGGTTAATTTATTTTTGCCTGCCAGCCCCGCCCGCGCACTGGAATTTACCCTGTGTATCCGGTACACTGGAACAGCCGTGCACGAGCGAATTCCTGCCTCGCTGTAAATAATGTCCTTGGAAATACTTCACTGAGAATCCTTTAGAAATATCTTTGATCCTGTATATTAACGGTCAATTAAATTGCTGAATGTATTTAAGGTTATCATCTTCATAAAGAAAGCTCTTCTCTAAAAGGAAATTCCAATTACTCGAAGAATAGCAGCTGAATTACCTCTACCCTTAACGCAATATTCCCGTTCGATTAAACGACATCGAATACCGTGTATTCAACGGAGCTTGAAATTTTTCAGAAAAGTACCAGGTGAACCATCGCTACCTCTAATACAACATTCCGTTCGATGGAATAATACCGAACACTGTATATTCGAGTGGCGCGTTTTCTCGAGCGACGGACCGTTGGTTGAAGAGAAAATAATACGCTCGAAAGTGCCATTAGTCATTAAGAAATTCGATCCGAGGCAGCGGAGAGTTATGATTCACGTAATCGGTAACAACTTAAGGGTCGAGTGGCGGGAAATCCCCTGTTAAGCTGCCGACAGGGGCGTTAAAACCTGGAAGAAGCATTAACGGGGCATTAAGCCTGGCCGTTTTTAAAGTTCACCGTCACGGCGGGCTCGAACGTGGCTCGAATCGCTCGGAACTTTCAAATCCCGCGCGAACGTGCCCGCGAACGGAGTTACTCGAGGATTCCGAATGTCCGGGATTATTTAATAAATCCGTGACGCGCCCTCGAGTTCCCCGACGTCGCGGAGACGTTGAAGTCCCGGGAAGTCGCGGAACTTTCGAAAATGTTCGTGGAGACGTCTCGCAACCGTGGACAGAAAGTTCCGACGTTTTGGCTCCATTAAGATCCCCGCGGGTAGAACCACGTATTTCCGAGCAATTTAAAATTACGAGGGTCTCTCGAGACTGGCTGGAAATCTTCAAGAAGTATGACGAAGTTTACTATCGTGGTAGTCCTCGCGTGAAAAATTGAATTGTATCGTTAACATTAAAACTACTAAACAAATCAAAATGATCGAGTCCTGATCCCTTCTTCTTGCAATTATTAAGATGGATGGTTCTCTGCGAGACTGTTAAAGAAATTCGTCTAGCAACGCGTAAAGCGAATCAATTAAAGTTTCAATAGACTCTTCGAGTTGTTATAGACAAAATTCAACATGTTAATTTAACTCGATAGTTCCGCTTACAATATGCTCTTCGTTATTTAAATTAGTAGACTCTGTTTATATAAAACCAAGAGTCAGATTTGTTTAATGACTCGTTCCGAACGCTAGAACTATCTCACAGTTTCTTTTCGATTACATTTCTCATGTGCGAAAGCTAATCGCTTAAATAAATAAACGAACTGCACGGTGACTCACCACTCCTATTTTGGGGTCCTTGGCGCCATTGCTGAACGTTGAGGCCAGGGTGCTCGAGCAGCTCTCGTCGTAATGCGCGTTCTGACCGTCGTTGATGGCGCTGTTAATGCTAACAGTCCACATGCTGGCTGCGTAGCCGTCGCAATTGCAGTCGTCCTCCTCCCCGCCGTCCCCGGACGCCCACACGTAAATGTTGCCCAGCCCTCGCCGCCCCTGGGGAACAAAAACGTGCGTTCGAAAAGTCCGGACATCCTATCCTTAGCCTGTCAACCAGGGAAGACGAGTTAATTCATGTTTTTCATAGCACCATTCACTGCCACATTTATTTCCCTACGAAGTTCCTCGATACAATGCTATCGTATTATCGGTAGCATCGTAAATTATATTCACCGTACACGTTAATTACAATAAATATATCAACCTACTAGAAACCAGCAAAGCAACTCATCTACGAAGAATATTTCCATCGCGAAATGGACTTCCGCGGATAGTAGACCTTTCGTTTGACAAATGTCCCTCGAACAATTTTCGGCACAGTGGACGCGTTAACCGATACGCTCTCCACAGTCGGAGCCACTAAAATTGGCACCCCGTAGTCAGAAATTCCATGGCGTCGGCCATCGTCGACTTTATCCCCTCGTCAGAATTTTTATTTCCAATGGCCTCTCGGGCATGGCTCGTTGCAGCCGAGTAACGACACCCCGTAAGTCGACTCGCGTAACGATCGGTTGTTAGAGAAGATTTCGAAAGCGGAGAGCGTCGTTCCGCGAGCAAACTGCACACGTCCCCGATAACTACGAGCCTCGACGGTTACCGACGAACCCTTCGGGACCCGTGACTACTGTGATTGCACTCTAGTCGGTCTGATAGCAGCTCACCGAAGGCTACGAAGACGTACTGGTCGCGTTTCGCTCTTGAATAAAAATCGAAGAAATACTCCGCGACGGAAGTGTCGAGGGTTCAGCAGCTTCGAAATGAAATGGGTACTTCGAGGAAGATAGAGAAAGGAAGACAAGAGGAACAGCATCTGTTTGTGGACTCATTTCCAGTCCCCTGGCTTAGAGGCGACACGGTTAACCGGTCAACACGCGACGATAATTGTCCGACTAATTAGTTGTCGAATGGAGCAATTGGAAGCTGCGTTCCCGGGTCGATGACACTCCGCCCTAACCGCCTCCTCGACTCGAAATCTCTCGATCCCTTCCTTTGTCGATTAACCGCGCGTCCGTGGGTCGAAGAATATTGTTACAGCGACAGAAACAGCAGCTACAAACGGCCGACCGACGTCTCCGCGCGCATCGATCTAATTATCCCCTGTAATTAGGTCTCCGCTGAGGCTCGCCCTGTCTCTCCGATGAATTATCGACGTTTTCGTTTCGAGCGGGAGCCGCGCTGATTGGATTTCGAGCAATTATTGGTTACTCTTCGACCGCCCGCGGAAATTTCGAAAACTGGAACGCGTCGCTCGTCCGCCCCCTCGCGCGCCGCTCTCAGGGGAATCGAATCAGATCGAGCCGCGCGAATTCCGGTTAAATACCACAGTGGATTTCGTCCGCTCGCGTGCGCAGATTTTTCGGTTTAACTTCATCGGCGCGCGTAGACTCTCTTTTTCGATGGACCTGTGCGAATGACGTTTAGGGAGAACAATTGAGAGAAACGCGAGGGACGATGGTTTTTTACACTTTGCGCTCGATGTCTCATTGTCGCCACTTGATTTGACATTGCAGAAATAGTGCCTCGTATATAGTGAAGTTTTTTGATGCACCGATATGTGAAATATCGAAATAAAGCAGCTTTGTTCCTTAACACTGAACCTACCGAGCATTTAAATTGACTTTTTGTAATTCCTCTGTAGCAATTCCAAGGGTGTATCGAAACTTCAATTGATTCACAATTCAGTTTGTGTATTGTTAAATCAATTTCTTGAATAATTTCTCAAAGAAACATCTGTTGTCTTCTCAATAATTCCAAAAAAGAGAAATCACGACGAGTCCGCTAGGTTTAGTATTTGTTTATGGATATTTCCTCGTTAGTCAGCTTCAAGTGCGAAGAGTTAAGTTGGCGGTACGACAACAATAACATACAAAAATCTCGCGCAAACTAACACGAAAGTTATTCTTCCTTTATCGAGGTTCCAATTAATGCTCATCGTTCCAGCTGCTGTTCAAACATTATCTATTTCTTTAGGAGGTTCCTCCGCGCTGTCGCGCTATCCAGTCCGCTGCTTTCTTCGCCGCCTAATTACTCGTTCGAGCGCAAACATCGGTCGCGTCGAGCACTGCAAAGAAAAACTCATCGACGCGACCATGATCGAAAGCGGATGATCGTGTTCGGAAGGGAAGCTCGATAGTCTCGGCGGAGACTGTGTTTACGCAGGACCTAAGTGACGGATGAAATAACTTCCGTCGGCGCGACGCCGAACAGAATATTCGCGGAGCAATTACCACGCTAATTGCGATCGCGACCACCGCGAGATGGCGGGTTAATTTCGTTACCCTGTCGTCTTCTAGAAATGGACGCACCGCTGATTCCAACGATAATCGAAAACGCGAGGTTTTCACTCGCTAGAAGGGCTGAACTAGTATATCTGGTTCAAGTAAACTATCCGAGCAATCTGATGAATCTCGGGATAAGAAAATATAAATATAGTTCTGATAAAACAGACTATGACATTCGTAAACTACAGCTGATTATTTTTGATATAGAATTAGGATTATATCAACGATCATTAATATTTCTCTTGCCTTAACGAACTTCGCCAACTTGAAGCATTTTCCGATGCTTATCGTTCGACAACATTTAACGCTTCAACGTATGTGGCTTCTTTGATATAGAGCACCAGACATTGCAAAGGTATATCTTACATATTTCGATGTCTACGAGTTAGCGCATAAATACCTACACCTATCAAGATCCACTGTTCAATACTATTTGAAATTCAGCGAAAAGAGATGAGAGAGACCTCGAAAGACTCGTGTTCCTCTTCCTAAACGGGAAACGGAGGTCAAATAAAACTGTCGGAAGCAGCTCGCACGTAGGAAATATAAACGGTGACACGAGATCGGAATGCTGATCAAGAGAGAGCCGTGAGAGGAGCACGAGGAATCCCGAGGCGTCCCCTCGAAGAGACAGAGGCGCCGGGAAACGTTGGAATATCGGAAGAGGAAACCAACTCCACACGCGAACGGTTATTGGGCGAATCGTTGGACGCGTTCGATGACGTGACTCGAAATAAGAACGAACAGCTCTCCGCGAAACCTTGTTCCCCGGAGGAACGAATAATCCGAAAGTGATTGTAAAAATGTAAGTTACTGTAAAACGAACCATAGAAGAAGTATTAGCTTGTTCGTCTGGGAAGATGACTTAAATCGACGATTTAACCCTTTGCGCTCTAGAGACTCTCACTTGAAATGTCCAATACGTTCTAATTAGATGTAGACGAGATACTTTGAAATAAATTTATTAAGAAATCACATATGAATTAGGGAACCGAAGCTATTTCCTTTCAATATTTCACGTATCGATGCAGCATACAGAGGGTGATGGTGAATAACAAAGTTTATAATGTTGATCTATCAAATCATCTGGCGACTGGGAGACGCCTCTCGAGTGCAAAGGGTTAATATACCGCAAGATCGAAACATCCCTGATTTCTGTACGATCGCGAAATTCGGTTCCACTCTGGCAAGGAGTCTGAACAGCGTGACTCGTGGGGTTCTTAGTTCATCGGTCACCGCTGAAACCGAAGTTTCGTTGTTTCCACGAAACTCCGGCCAGCGATTCAACTCCTCTGTCAAGAGGGTGAAGATCGATCTCGGCGTAAAGGTCACCGCGGTTCTCGCGTCGAGAATTCTGAGATAAACCCGTGGATGCGACACAATGTGTACCGCTCGAGGGCTTTCCTTCGTCGCGAGCACACATTTTTATTCATCCGGCTACAGCGACCGATACACGGAGAGTACATTTTCCAGGCGAAGCGGTTCGGCGTGAGTAAGAAAGGGCGATTAATTCCAATCATGACTAAGGCAGATTAAAAATGTGTTAATCCTTAACGGACCATTATAAGCGACATGCTACTTACTCACCGAGTCCCGTATATGCCGGGAGTCATTTTATCACGTTTATCACTGCCATTGTTGTGATATTCACAAGCAACGCCGTAAGTATCGTGCTAGGTCAGATCGAAGAATTTGATCGTTATCTATGTCACGGTATTTTTTCGCGGTAAGTCAACTTGAGATACGCGGAATTTTCAGCTGACGCATTGAAACGGAGGGTAGTCGGCGAAAACTGCGGCGCCGAATTATTTGTTCTCCCTGTTAATCGTTTGAATCGTCAGTTGTTTCGAAAATTCCTCGTTTAAAAGAACTGAATGAAATTCAGGAACTGGCATAGTCGAGACTGCTTCTTGGCGTGAAACTCGCGACACTTTTAACTTTCCTCTAGCCTGAATTTCTCGACTTTCAGCTCTCCAACACATACGAGGAAATTTCCAAACATTTCGCGGGACGATCGCGAGGCGTAATATTCGCGTAATATCGTCACCGGTCGCTTAACCCTTTAGCTACTGTGCGCCACTGAAGCGGCACAATTCTTGCTCTAATATATGTCCTCTTATATTTCTTTGTCTAATAATACTCTGATCAAACGTAACTTCACAGTGGACAATTCCACCAGTCTCAAATCGCAGTGACATTACACTTACGATACGCAGACAGCGTCAAACCTTGCGATACAGAAGTGTAGTTTCCAGCCTCGTCGTAACTAAAAGGTTAAGGTTCAACCCTTTGTACTCGGAAGTTTTTCATTAGAAGTATTTTAACATTTTCTGAGATAAAGAAGACGTTTTGTGAAACTAACTTGAAGGGAGATCACACGTACATTGAGGAACAAAGCTATTTTATTTCAATATTCCTATTAAATTTTATTTTAATTCAAATTTTATAGTTTTACTGTACGAAATCAAACGGTGGGCGAGAGTCACCTCTCGAGTGCAAGGGTTAGTCAGCCCTGGATCGTGTCCGAAAGAAGTCGCTCTCCACGAGCGTTCCCTTCTAGAGGAAGCCGCGAACAGTCAAGGGCGAGGCTTCAAGGCTGGCAGGGTTAATCCTTAGTGGACCGGGGCTGAGGCGAAGGCCGGCGAGGGGGTCCAGGAGGTGGTAGGTGGGAAAATCCATAGGAAAAGGAACGTGACACCGAACACGCACCTCGTTAACTCCGCGCACGATCGCCCTCATGGTCGCGTTCCGCGGGCCGTCGACGGTCTTCCCGTCGTCCGTCGGTCCCCACGAGGCGCTATAAATGTCGATGAGGTCAGGTTCGTGTCCCATGCTGTTCGCTTCGATCAGGTCGGTCATGTAAGGCTGGTCCAGCATTCGGATGCCGGCGATTTTCGAGTCGTACGCGACGCCGACGCCGCACACGCCGTTGTCGCGAGCTGCGGCCACCTCTCCCGCGCACCTGGTGCCGTGGCTGTCGAACAGAAACGATTGTTAGTCGATCGCGGCGAACACGGATTCGGCAGCGAGGAGAATCCGTCTTCGATACGAGACGAGACGTTCGATCGATACCCGGATAAAAGTGTGCCTCCACTCCCTCTTTTCCTCTCGTTCGCCGTACGACCGGGAATAAGTTATGGATCCCGATATCGCGGGACGGCCGCTGCTTTCCTCGAATGGGAATTTATATACGCTCGGAAACAGCTTCGCTGCAGCTGAGAGGGAAAGGGGGAACCACGAGGAAAGGTTAATAGAACGTACGGAACGAACGAGGGAATACGTCTCTGGCTACCGTGGATTATCGAAGACGCTCGACGCTTATTAGCTGCGTTTATCGGGCGAAATGGAACAACGGTAATCAGGTTAGCTGTTCAACAACAGAGTTTAACGGAATTTAATCCGGTTGTCCATTCAAGGGTAGTGATTGACGCGGAGTTGGTTCGATTACAAATCGGCGACTGTAATTTAATACTGATCAACAAGTGCAACGCCTGGGACACCGTTCGCCCCCGTTTTCAGCGAGATAATGAGGGAACAGAGAGCAGCCTCTGCAGATCATTTAATTATCGCGTGAAAAGAAACACGGCGCTTTATCGCCGGAATGAATCAGCTCCGATTAAAGAGTAATTACACGGGCAACGGCGGCGATTAATCGCAGGCGACGATGCTTTTACCGGATTCTCGGTAACGCGAGCGAGATTACGCGATAAACATTATTCAAAATGCGATCGCGACGTCCTCGCGTTCTCACCGTGAAATCGCGGGATTATGTAATTAACTGGGAGACGACGAGGAACACTGCGACGGAATTTTCAGCTGACGCACCGGAACGGGGAGTCGTCGGCGGAAATCCCAGCGTCGAATGTATTTGATCTCCCGTTCCGTGAATCGTTTCGATGGTTGCTTTAAATGTTTCTCGTTCAAAAGGATCGAGCGAAAGTCAGGAACCGGCGCAGGCGAGGATGTTTCTTGGCGCAAAACTCGCGACACTTGTGACTTTCCTCTTTCTCTGTTCTGAATTTCTCGACTCTCGCGTGTCTCCGACACGTATGAGGAGATTCCGAAACATCTCGCGAGATGATCGTGCGGCGCAACGTCCGTGGAATTCGGTGGACGCGATCGTGACGCGCGATCGTATCGCCGTCGCGCCCGGCGTATCGGAAACGTCGGCCATTTCCCGGGGATCTCTTCGCGTCGGAACCGGGTTTACTGTTCGGGCTTTTATCGCGTTTCTTTCGTCGGCCCGTTTATTACGGCGTTCCGATTGCCTCAATAAAATCGAGAAACGAATCTCGTAAAGCGCACAACGGCCGGCCGTATACGCGCGGAGGAACATTGTCGTTCTATTTCTCGCCAAGTTTTCCCGCTAAGTAAATAAGGCGGTCGACCCGGCCCGAGATTGACCGTGCAATATTCCGGATTAACGGATTCCACGCGAACGACCGGTCGGAAAGCGGTATAATCAATTTCGCGTTCGTTTCCTCCCACTTAAACTCGTTCCACCTTCGTTAAGGAGGGCGGGGTGGAATTATAACCGAGCGACCGACTGCCGTTGAACTTCCAACACTCGAAAATTGTCTGTCGTTCATTCGTTTGTTTGTTCATTAAGCGACGATTTGTTTGGGAATTGATCGGTAATTATAAATCAATTAATTCTCGATTGCGTCCCGTTCTACTAGTATTTTCTCGGAAAGCTAGGAATAAACGATCAAATGCTTTCGAATGTTTCGATGCACCTTCGTTCGAGCGTATTCGAGTCAGTTATATTCACGTTCAACTTCTCATCTTCGCAGAGCCTAGTTAAACAAAAGTGTAAGACCTTCAAGAATAAAATATTATTTCAATTCCCCTCGAATGTTCCACATCGGTAGTGGAGCTACGAGTGTTCTCTCGTAGCGAGGAAGAAATGGAACAGGAAAAAAGGACAGCGGGACACAATAAATATTTCATTTTCATCGAAGTAAAGAGGATAAGCGAGCACGCGGTACAAGCTACACGGGAGAATTGAAGTTCCACGGTGCAAAATGAAGCAAATAAAATAACAGAAACCCAGTCGCTCTTTGTTTTTTCTTCTGTCGGTTCGAACACGTTTCTCGGTGACGCAGACCCGCGGAAATTGCCCCGGAGCTTACGTAAGCCCGTCGCGCTTCACAAAGAATCGCGCGTGGCAGAGGGCAGACGCCGATTCGCGGCTTGGAACATTGTTTCCCGCGTAATTAACGGTGACGTCTCTCGCGGGATCAATGGGGAAACATTTTTACGGGAATCTGCGCCGACCGTTCTAAGCGGAAAGTCGATTCCTCATTATCGGAGAAAAACGTTCGGATTCGACCCCTTCGAACAATATTATCCAATTCCCGTGGTTTTTCCAGCGAGCCGTTATCCCCAATCACCGAATAAAAACAATCGTCGTGGCGTTGAGAGAAGAGGATATCGAAGACTTCCTCGCTGAGTTGGCGGACGTCGAATACCGACGCTAATTACCACGTCGGTGAACATTAACGCTAGAACTACCGAGCAGTTAAATTGACTTTTGGAAGTTCCTCTATAGAAATTTCAGGATTGCAACTATCGAGACCTTAATTGGTTTACAGTTCAATGTTGCGTATTGCTAAATTGATTTCTTGAATATTTGCTCGGCGAAACAACTGTTATCTTTTTGATCGTTGCAAACAGAAGAAATCAGAAATGGGTTGGTTTGACCTGTCTGGTAGTTTTAGTATTAATACTGCAGCGACTTTTGACCTATAAATACTCTTTTCCTTGCCCGGATGATACGCTGTGTTTATATTGGCGATATGAAAACCCCACGGCGAGAGTATTTACAGTAAGCAGAAACAGTAGACCATGAACAGACGCGTTAAAACATAGCACTGACTTACCTGTTGAACCAATCATCGGTGTATCTCGGGTACGGGTAAGGATCGTTGCTGCTGAAGTCATAGGAAGCTCTGGCGTTCTGAAACAAGAGCAGTTTCATCGATCCCTTCTTTTCTAACGAAACATCGAACACGAGAGGGATATTAATAATAAACAACCCTAGCTCCGACAGGTTCCGCATCGAATTTTCCCGAGGCAAAAAGTTAGTACGACAAGAAGATGGAGTGAATCCACGTAAAAACCAACACAGACTTTTCATCGCTGTTAATTAGTTGCCCGCGGGACACGCCGGCAGTTTGCGCGCCGCGGAAATTCTCGCTTATTAATTCTGCTTAACTTTTATTAACATGCCAGCCGCAAATTCGTCGCGGCAACGTCGGTGCGCAATTAATCTTCGTTTCCCCGGGTACGGGCATCCTCTCCGTCACGCTTTCCTCGAGTTGCCCTTCATCGACGCGTATTTTCCTCCTCTAATTAGAAGGAACGGTCTCGGCGGAGATTTAAGAATTATTTAAAGCCCCTTCTGTGCAGCCTGACTCGCGGGATTAATCGTTGAACAGCCAATAAGGAAACTCGGCCATCGATCGATTAATATCTTACTGTAACGAACCGACTGATTGGAAAGTGCAGTTCAAATCTCCGAGATAAAATCCGATGGAAATACGGAATAATAAAATAGATCGTAAGTCGGAGATCGTTCAGTTCCATCTTTTATTCGGCCGCTCAACGCCGTTCGACATTTAAACAGCGAAATTACTTTTATGGAATTCATGAATCCATTTCCCCGTCGTTTTACATTTATTCGCCGACTTAAAATCGCCGGAAAGGGCGGAGGGGTAAGACAGAATTAATTGGAACCCGCTGAATTTTTCCCGGGCAAGTTTCCTCCGCCAACTTTCGTCCCGCATTGTCCCGCCGTCCGCATAGTTGATCACGAGTTTCTGCGACACGTGGACCGCCATTGTCTTCCCGCGTGTCTGTCTCACCTTTCTCTCCGGAAGACTGGTCGCATTGTCGGCCGGCCTGTCGCGTTCAACGAGGCAGCGCGGGACACAGAGATAACGTTATTCCGCCATTATTCCGACCCGCTGTGTCTCATCGCGACATTTCAGATTTTTAATCGCGGAGTTCCTTTGAGCGAACGTTCCACTGTTCAGGAAACGGGTCGAGTGTTCGTTTCCCCTTTCCCCGGCAACGTGACTTCCGGATATTATATTCAACGTCGCAGCAATGTTTGCTGACGAGAGAATCATTTGTTATTGTACATTCTTCTCGCGTATATTGAAAGGACAGACGTTGCACTGGTTAACGCTAGGTTCACGGGCATTTATTGTGCAGTTTAATCTATTGTTCCTAGAAGAATTGATGTTCGTTCACTTGGAGCTTGGTAATTGGGGGTTTAGAAATAGACGATTAGTACACATTTACCAAATAATGCTTACGACGTTCGACATACGTGAAATTTGCGCGTTCCGTGAACCAAGCGTTAAAAAGTCTATCGACGAAGAGCATGGGACTGCCTGCGAATTCTAAACCGCGCTCAACGACCGTCGTTTCCTGTCGTTCCATCGACTTGAGTGGATTGTGAAGACCGGAGGTAGCTACGTGATCGGAATTGAGTGGCCTAGAGACCCTCTTTAGGTAAATTAATGTTGGCACTGCAGCGGAAACTGTCATTCAATCGAACAGAAGCTACAAAGAATTTTGTTGACCTGTTGACTGGGGAAAACGAGTTAACTTGTAATTAGTGTGCGTTGAAATCTGTTGCGTCATTGTTACTTCGTTTTATCCTTCGTTCGATCGTTCCTTCATTAACTCTTATTAATATAGTGAACACTTTGAAATTCTACGAGGAGTTAAGATCACGTTACGAGACTCGATATTATCGTTTTTCGACTCGATTAAATCTTAATGCACCCGGCATCTCGTGGTCGCCGGTGACTGCTCAACGAAACCGGAAATAAAGGCGACCGCAACGCTTTGTCGTCGTTTACCCGCCGGGAAAAGTCGTGTTTGCCACGCGATTTAAATTTCAAAGCGGGCTTAATGTTATGCAGATTCCGGGCTTGATGGAGACCGTTGGGCTGCAATAGAACGCCGCTAAAAACTTCCATTACAGCGGGAACCTGTCGGCCATTTTGTTTCACGCGTCGCGAAACTGGCCCTCGAGCTCCGTCGAATAATATTACATAACAATCGAGGGAATTTCTCGTACTCGCACGCTTCTACAAGCGACTGAATACGATTCGATGTGTTTTATAAAACATAACACGCGCAAATACAAATTACGTAGAATTTTTGTAGAACAATCAGTTCTCTCGATAAAGAAACAATCGAATACTTTATACAGGGAAAGTATAATATTAGGAAAATGATTGTTCCGCGAAGATTCATCGAATTCTTTTATGCGACCGATTCGAAGCAGACAAATAACCAATCACAAACCAACAGAGCATCGAGAGCATTACAATACATACAATGAAGCACAGGTGAAAAGTGAAGTCCCAGTCCCAGTTACAGGTCACCACAAATTCCCGTCTGCAATCGTGAACTTTCATTTGAAGGAGGAAGCAGACGCGAACGAAAAAAATGGAGCAGAAATTTCATCGAAGCAACCGAGCCGAGAACCGTCGCGACGCGACACGACGCGACGCGAGACACACTCCATGCCGCTTGCGCGAGCATCGCGGTCTCCTCGGTTGAAAAAGGAGGCGAGTTGGCGTTCATTCGTGTGATCCGCCGCGATTCCGTGCAACGACGCGAGATAATGGTCTCAGGTAGTACTCACGTAGTTGTACTTCAGATCCGGATGCATGTAGTCGACACCTGCAACATAGAACAAGAAGAGTTCATGCCGGATTTCCATAACTTGCGGCGGAAACTGTGCCAGGCGAACGGAAATGCAAACGGATTCGTCTTCCGCTGTACGTTACCAGCTTCCTCGGAACCCGGAGAACTGCGAGTTCGAGTCAATGTTCGAGTCAGAGATTAATCCTCGCTTCCTGAGCAATTAACGAGGATTCAATCCTATTTCCGTGTACTGTTCCCTATTATCGGAGATTCGTCGATTAATAACGTACATACTGTTCCCGATACCGTGGAACAAGCTATACCGAATTACTCTGCATAACGACATAAGTAGGAAATAATAGAATAACATGTTTCTTACACGTCGCTTCGTTTCAATAATCGCGTTTCAAAGTTCGTCGGAATGCTGCAAGAACCGAGTCTACTTTGTCTGACCATACCTTGCTGTTTCTACTTCGCGCGAACACGTACACCGAACTTTCGTCTTCAATCCTCTCAGAACTAAAGTTCCGTGTAATGAAAGTTTATTCCACATTTCCAGCTCGGTTCTAATTGTAAACATTTCCATTTTCCACGCTCGTTTGATCCATTTTTCGTTTCGAATCGTCCTCTCTCGCCTCTTTCCAATAACATTCCGCGCAATAATAGCACGATTTGTGTACGATTCGCTTTCATCCGTCGCTTCGTTCAAAGACTTTTACCCCAGATATGATGCAGTCACGTTATACAATCGTAAAGGGAGGAACTAAATGAAAAGGGGAGCGAATAAAATAAACGACGACCGCTGACGCGAATGGGGCTGCACAGCGGCGAGCTATATTCGCGCGTTCCTCGGGGCGTTCGGCCGGCAATTCTTCCGCGATCAACGGGGACACCGACGGCGGAGTATTAGCGGCGTGTTTACGGACGCGGGCTGCGGAGACCGGAATCGATAAACACCGGCCGGTAAGCCGCAAAAGACTGAAATCCTTAACGAGCCGCGTCTCTGAATACTCGAGATTGCAGTTTAACAACGACGGGGGGATTTAATGCGCTGCCGGGGATATCGTCGAGCCGAGTTTAAAAGACTGGTTCTACAAGGAAAAGACTTCCGCATACCAGTGGAACTTAATTGAACAAAATTCATTGTAGAGCCTGAAAGAAGATCGCGTTGGTACGTCCGATTCGAAAAACTAGGCGAGTCGAAACGATCAATTCCTATTTTCTTCTTTAACAATTACTGCAAAGGATCGACTGGGCATTTTTAAACGGGTGCGGGAGGATGCCTAACGCGACAGGGAGGATGGACAGCGGTCGCACGAACTGCCCTCGGGAGATATCGATTGCTCGCCACGGAACGGAAATTCTGTAACTTAATCGTGTTTCGTAAGCACCCGTTGCTATTGTAACTGTGTTACGCAACGATCGTGCCCGAGGTTGAAACAACGTTGCTCCATTCGCCGCGCAACACCGCGAGATCAGGATCTCTAGACACCTTGCGCTTTGCATTTGTGGTAGCGGTAATAATACGGGGAACTTCGAAACACGCGGCTCGACTCTCGTTTGTATTATCGATTAAAGCTAAAAGCGAATAGGAATACGTGCGAAAGTAATTTGAATTTCTTCCGTACGACACGAAGGCTTTATCTTCCGAGAGATTTATTGTAAAGATGGAAGGAAATTGACGGTTGAAAGATACAGAATGTACAGAATTAACACCACAATGAGGAGTGATTTAATCTTTGGTTGACTTCACATTATTTCTTAAAAGAGAAACGTTAGATGAAGCTGTCACCCAGATGTTTGTAGTAGAAAACAGATATTATCCGTCGCGGATGAAATCAAATGATTAGAGAACGCGATCAGATATTTCTGATCGGCAGTATACGTTAGTCTGGCTACGTTTACGAAAGAATATTCGTATCAACGTCACCGACGATTCGAGCAGCTGTTAGTTGTCGATATATCTCCGCGAAAGTGGACCGATCACGTCGGTCCGCTGATCCAGCGGATTGTTGGCTCTCGGCGTTCATCGGAACTCCGTCATCGACATCGGCACGCGGCTGGTTGTGCGCTATTTAATCGATCTAGCTATGTATATCGCGTGGTCCCGGATACGAGTTTTGCTTCGAATGTAATTGGATTGCCTCTGAGAACCGGGTCATTCAGAGAGCACGGATAACCGGGTAATTACCGATGCAAAGAATTCGGTAGCTGAATCAGCGAATATTAATTAATTTACGGGTCATACGCGGTGGGGCTTCGATCAATACCGTCCTGCCAAACGTTCATAGAAATACTATATATTAATATTCAAGCATCGCAACCTCATCATTGCTATGAGGCATTAGTCGATTCACAGTACTGATTGATTTCGAGCCACCCATTAGCCAGATTGGTTCACACCGCGACTGGGAAAGATCGATGCAATAATATAGGTACATCGATTCTAGAAGTGTCGTTTTAAATCAAATAATCTAAACTTCATTATTATAGCAGTAGCTTCATGCTAACGAACATCCGAAGTAGAGAAATCGGCGCAACCGGTTTAGTCGGTGCACGGCTCGCGTAAGAATCTCGCGTGCGATCGGTTTCCATGAGAACGCAGACGCCGCGCCTTGCAGAATCGGAAGCTTCGAAGGGACACGAAGGTTACGGGGAGTACCAATGCAGAACTGTAATTAAGGGAATTACGTTGTAGCGATATCGACAAATGATTATCTCTCATCGCAGCGCACAATTAACGGGAACAAGGAATGCCAGATTCACGTGCCGCGTGATCCCAGCTAAAGACACTCTCCGCGTTAACGAGATCCGGAGAAGCGGAGCGTCGGAATTGCCGGCGGTAAATCCGCGGAACGGTCTCATTATCAACGCGACGCTCGAGTAAAATAACGATTATCCGGCAAGCAACGTGACAAGCGAAATTACCCGACGGACGTCCTTCGCCATCTTCCCGGCAACGCGACCGGTGAAATCTGACCGGGGAAACTAAAGCCCCGGGCCGGCCGATGCCGTCGCAACGGCCCCCTAAGACGGGACGAGTAAATTAATAGGACTAGTATCTTTCGAACAATCCGACACGCCCCTCTCCGTTGAATTCTCCGGAGCACGGTCACGTGTTGTTCCTTTACAATCCCGAAGCAACAACCTGTTACGTCTTACACTTTTCCCCGGACGACCCTTTCCTCCGGATAAATTAGCTCCCTCTCTCGTGTTACGAATAACCGTTCGACTTTCTTCCCTTTTTCTTTTTCTTCGGCGAACAACCATGTAATCATCAGAGCTTCAGGGAGCAAGGATAGGATTAAAGTATCGATGTAATCTCACCGTCGTCCATTATCGCCGTGGTCACGTTCTTCCCGGTCACACCCTGAGCCCAGGCAGCCTCCACGTTCAGATCCAGTTTCGGCTTGCCACCGTTCTGGCCTGTGTTCTTTAGGTACCATTGGTACTGGAAGTACGGGTCGGTTGGCTCCCTGTTCCCGGCGTACTCCGAGTCCTTCGTCTGGTAGAAGGGCACCAGATTGTCCACGCTGAGCGGCTTGTAACCCCTCTTCACCCTCTTGAACCCTTGCTGCTGCACCGCAGTGTGCACCTGGAAATGTTCGAGGCAATCCTCTTATCGCGTGCACTCCTTTTATCCGGCTTCAATCGAGCTTATACTGTTCTTAACCCTTCGCTGTCCCGCCAGATCTGGATATTCCGTTCGATCCCGGCAGCTACGCGTTCGTCGATCTACTTCGGTCGAATGTTCGTAATCCCGGTTTTCATTAATCTAATCGCGAACGGACTGAATGAATTCGCCAAGCGTTATGTTCCACCGCTCCGATCCGCAAAGGGATCGTTAGCTGGTGAATCATTAACGACGGTGAAAGGTACCGAACCCTTTCAATATTCATGCCTTTGCGATTATTTCGTTCCTCGCGCGGTATTGCTCTTTCGCCGCGCGATAAAATCGGTTATTCGTTCATCTCGGTGGACGAGGTACACGGAATATTGTTAATAAACAATATTTACGCGAATTCGAGCGTCGATGAAAATTGTATGAGCTGTCTGGTCGGAGAGCGGTTCTTTCAACGGGATAATGATTACCTCGCGCGACTTCGTCAAAGCATCGTAATTTTATGCGACCAATTTGCTCCCCGTTCGATTATGTCCTTCGTCACCGTTGGAAATCGGGGATTCATTTACATTTATATCAGCAGCCCGATGGCTCGCGTGCGCCTGAATCGAGATCCGAGCGAACGCCCACGGTCGGACCGTGAGTTTTCTTCGATTTAACCCGTGGAACTCCATGGAAACGCGGACGATTGTTTTCTTGAAAACGAGATCAACCCTGAACGATCGTCGCAACGATTATACGATAATCGAGGAGAAACCGATATCAGACAAGTTTGTTACTTCGGAAAACGACTGACGATCGACTGGATTTCAATAGGGAATTAGTATCTCGTAGATAGAATCATCTGATAATCGTCATGTTCGTTCATTTCAATATTTTTCGATTGAAACGTCAAATTCTACGAATGTAATGAAACACGGAGAGCCAGAGTTTACGGTGCTAGAATACCTTTCCTCCCACAGTAAGCGAAATGAAACTCGATAGAGGAGCGCGGAGAATAGAATTGCATTGCTCTTCGTTTTCCTCGGGCTTCACTGTCGCTGAGAGATATGCGACAAACAGAAATGTTTCCCCCCCGGACAAGAAACCCGCAGAGGAAAAAATGTTTCCGGTTCGGACGGCGATGTATCACTTACCAGAGGGTCCACCTTTAACTTCCTCGTGTGCGGCACGGATCTTTTGCTGCGCGCGTGCGGCAGAGCTCTGTGTAGGAAGTGGTATTCCGTTTGACTGCCCAGTACCTTGAAAAACAGAAGAAACAACGTTTACTCAACGTCCCATGGATTCTACAAGTTTCATTTCATTTCATTTAGATGAAAGAACAGATTAGAAATGAACTTTAGCTCTAAAACTACCGAGCGGTTGAATTGATTTTTCGAAATTTCTCTATAGAAACTCCAAGAGTGCGTCTATTGAAACTTTAATCGATTTCAGTTTACCTATTGCTAAATCAATTTCCGTAATCATCTCTCGGAGAAACATCATAGAAACAACGTAGTTTTAATGCTAAAAGAACCTCCTGCGTATTTAAATTTCTCAAACGCGTTGCGTATAAACTCTAACAGTTACATAAACAGTATGAATCCTCCGAAAATATATTTCGCCTAAATACGTCGCGTATGCTAATACTTTCTAAGTCGATCCGCTCGACCACGTTTTCGTTCAACCAGTTACACGTGCCAGCCGAGGAAATCGATCAGCAGGAAGTTCGCAAGAGGTTGACGTCGGGATGTTGATTAACGGCACATCCGCGACGCGGCAAACGCATTATCCACCCTTACGTTTCTCATCGGAGAAGAAATGTGTTCCGAGAAGAGTTCCGTTCGCGGAAGTAGTTCCGCGGATCATCTACCGGATACGCGAGACCTTCGCAAAGTGACCAATCCCTTTTCTCCGAGAAGACACAGGCTATCGGAAAATGTCGTTAGAATACCGGAAACAATTAACTTGGAGCTCTACGGAGAATTTCGATACATACAATTCAACTTCCGATCTAATTAGGATAATATAAATAACGATACGTCCTTAAACAAAAGCGCTCAGATAGATTAACGAGTAAAATAAATAAAATTGCCACATAAAATAACCCATTGTCATTGAGTCGAAGTGATTGTGGTGGGTCGCAAAGCTAATGTGAACGTCAACGTATAACCAGATCATTTCCACGGAAAGTGAAATATGAAATTCATAATTATTTTCTTTATGAAACAAAATCTTCGATTCTTAAAAGATTCGTTGCACAAACGAGCCAGGTTCAACTCGACTGGATCGAATTTCAACGAGCAAACGATTGAACCGACGGGACAATTATAATCGGATCTAAGCGTATCACGCGGAAGTAAGCAAACGGAGTATGGGGAAGGCTGGTATCGTTTCGACAATCCAATCGAGCCAATTACTGACCGATAAAGTTATCTCTATTATGATGTAGACTGTTATCCGATTAATAACACCGCCACGCGATAGGGCATCGATCGGGCCGAACGGCAGCAGATTAAACGCGCGCGTACTGTTTACCCCTTCCGCGAGCGCGGCTCGCTCGTGCCGTCGAACGGAGCAGGAGATTAAAATCGGGGATAATAAAGTCAGAGGCAATAGACATTGCTTTTCAACTTTTCCCGAACGATTTATTCCATGCCTAGAACCATTAACACTGATACTACCAGACGAGTCACAATGGGCCATTTCTGATTCCTTCTTCTTGCAATTATTAAAAAGACAACAGATGTTTCTCTAAAGAATCATCAAAGAAGTTGATTTAACAACACGAAAACCGAATTGTAAATCAATTAACGTCTCGATAGATGCACCCTTTGAATCTCTATAAAGGAGTTTCGAAAAGTCGGTTCAGCTGCTCGGAAGTTTTAGTGCTATCAATATTTCAACCAAATTTCTCTCTCGAAAGGAGTTAATACGGTACGCCGCAAACTGGAATATTACACTGCTCCGAAGGTAGCGATTCAAAACCGCAATTATTTCTACATCGACCTAATGAAGGAATTAGCTTCGGACGACTATCGCCGACCCACGCAGCCGCGAGGTCTCGAACAGAGGAAGAGATCGTTGCGCGAACTTCCGAGCGAGAGGAAAATTCTCCGGCGGCGCGGGTTTAAACTCACCCCTGCTGCTCTCAACAGCCGCGTCTCCAGTTCCATTCACAGCGGGGGAAAAGAGCAGCGATACTTTCATCCAGGCGTCCCGCCCGGTTGAAAATTATTTTCAAACTCGCCGCTGTTGCTAAGCGTCCCGATTGCTTCCCCGATAGTTCGGTAGAACGCCGTGTCGAAGTTCCGCGGCTTTCGCGAACGTCGCGAGGGAGAACCGGCGGAGAAATCGCACGCGCGAGCGGTTATCGATGTCGGCCAACACGTGACCGCGAGTTACGAGAAATCACGTTGCGACATTGGAATCCAGCCACGCGAGTCACGAACGGTGGTTGTTCGTTTCGTCGCTGATCCCGTGGTGGGATAAATTAAGCGTAATTGCAATTAGCAGTCCTTCGCGCCAGCTTGTACAAAGTTGCGCCGGCATTTCTTGCACTCGCCGTTAGAGGGCTACGAGGTTCGCTCGTCTATCTGCTCGCCGCTACTTGCGCGCGATCGATTAAAGCTTACTATTGACTCCGTGCGAGCAGATTTATCATCGTTGACAGCGTGTCCTGTTCGCCCCGCGACGGTAAGCTCCGCTAATTACCGTTAATTACCGGATAATGCAAACGAACGGCGTTTCCTCTCCGCGACAAGGACGAGTCGGGTGATTCTATGGACGCCGCGGCGACGCTCGGAGCCCTCCCAGCGATATTGTCCTCGAGCCAGAGGCGAACATTTTCCCGGAAAAACTTCGTACATTCCCTGAGCCGCTCTCTTCCCGAGATTGCGTGGAGAAACTGGGGAAAGGATATCGTTCTCCCTTCCTGCTCCCAGCGAATTAAAAGGAAACGACGGAGGAAGCGGGAACGTCTAGAGTGTCCGATCGATCGACCAATGCGGTTCGACAGCCTCTCCGGCGGAAAGGAGGCGGCACGGACCAGCGACGCGAAGGGGAAACTGGAAGTTGACGCTGCTTTATCGTCCAACGTTCTTGGTTCTCTGGGTATCGAGTTCCCGCGCGTATCACGGCGACTTGCGGAAGTATTCTCGCGATCGCTTTTGTAACGAGAAGGTTCGGTGAACTTTCCGCTACAGCTTGCCTCGGGCCTTTCGGGTAAATTTGTTGTCAGTTGAGTTAGTTGTTGACTAACCTGAAGCTGCGGCGTTTATGAAAATTTGGGTTTTCCCGAAAGAACGAGGTAGCCACGGATGAAGTTTTCCACGAAATTGCATTTTGTGATTGGTAAAAGCGTATTGTCCTTTGAAAAAGAGTGAGGACTACGAAGAGTATATTTTTTTTAATTATTTCTACCCACGTCTAGCTGCAGTTATATTAGTTTCGAGAGTTCATGGAGTTCGGGAGACCCAATCTCGCAGGTCGACGTTCAAACTGACTCGCAGCCGTCAATTGTCCGAACAAATCGATTGTTCCAGAAGCAATGACGCCCTGAAAGCGGAGCGAGTGCACTCTGCTACGATACGACGGCGATAGTTTCGAATTCCAATAGATGGGACGCGGATAAACATAAAATGTCCCCGCCGAGATAGCTGGGAAGGAATTTTCTCATTTCGCGGAGGCAGAGTGATGCTTCAGCGCAGTTGCCCCGTGGCTCGATACACTATAAAACCGAATCTTCGATGTCGGGGCTTCATTGACATTCGACAGAGGAGGGGAGGGACCGACGGGAAAATTGCGGAACGCGTTCCCCGATGCTTGACGGTCTTCCATAATTGTTGTCCGTGTTATTAATAAAACCCGACGACTCTTTTTCCCGAGAGCGGACGGATTATTAAAACGTGATGAGGAACGGATTCTATCTAGACCGCAATGAAAAGAGGATTTTACGCTTCCGTGGCGTTATATAACGCACCGAAGGTGCATAAATATGAGAAACAGTTCCATTGAACTCTGAAGCTTAAATTGAAGAAATGTTAAATATTCATAAAAATTTTACTCGGTATCGTTGGTCTCGATAAATATGATATAAATGCGGACACCTACGATCTACCCGTCACCGGTCTAATGAAAGTGTAATCTCCAAGAACGGTGATCCACCTGATCATCCTACGTATTCAGAGGATGATTCTATTTCAACGACGAGCACGATCGCAAAATCGATAGATTTAACCTTTTGTGCTTGACGTGGGACGTCGTATAGAGGGATCTTCCGGTGACGTAGATGTCTTTGAACCCCCCGGCCGACGATGAAACGTTTTTTTACGGCGACGAGACGACGCACCGGCCGAATGACGTCGTGAAAACAACGAGAGATACAGATATCCACGCGAACAATAGGCCTTGTCGTGCAATTATACACCGTTTCAGACGGGACACGGTATATTCGTCGAGGCCACGGCCATCGTTTAATTAATCTCGATGAAATTTATTCGGGTCACCGATTCCCCCCGGTTCCCAACGAGCCGTTCCGTCAGTTTGCGCTCGTGAAAGGCTATGATCGATGAACATTCAAGCGTATCGACGGAGTGTTCTTCAGCCATCGGTTATTCGTTTATTAAAACAATATCGATAATAATTCCATTCGGGCAGGAGGACCGTTTAAAACGCGAAAACAACGACTGGGCTGCTGAAATTCGCAGTGCTTCGGGTGAAATCGAGTGGAGACCAGATGCAACGGTTCGTGATCAGACCTCTACATTTCCATTTTGATTTCATAACTCGCTGAACGAAGAACCGTGTAGAGGTTCAAGAGATTCGATCGTCGAATGATCTTTTTTGGGACGAATGGAACTAACGCGACTAAAGGATATTTCGAACAAATCGAATGCCCTCGAATTTCGCAGGCTATTCTATCATTAACTCTTATTCGAGTCTCACTATAATAAATATACGAAGAAACCGACAGAAATCTATTCTTCCAATTTTCCTAAGAATCACAGATGAACCATATAAAAGTCTCGGTAGTTCCAGCTTGAGATCTGCGTACTAGACGACTTAAGTAACCTCCGACAACATGGCCAGCGGCACCCGGCAGCCGTACACGTCTGGTCTATCGATCAAAACTAAACGGAAAATAGCAAAGTGGCCTCTTTGACTCCGGTATCCGCTTTGTCTCTCGAAGCATGCCTCCGCCCGGCAAACTATCCCTTAATCCAGTTTGACTTGGGGCTACACGTGTCGCGTAATCCAATTA